GAGCCTATACTCTGTATTTCAATTGCCTTAAAAGTAAAATAAAACTGGCTCGGTGCCTGTAGCACAGTGGTTATGGTGCCAGCCACATGGACCTAGACTGGTGGGTTTAAGGCCCCCCTAGGGCCTGCTAAATAACAATGACAACTAGAACAAAAAAATAACCAGGCGTTGTGGTGGGGGCCTGTAGTCCCGGCTACTTGGCAGGCTGAGGCAAGAGAATCATCTAAGCCCAAGAGTTGGAGGTTGCTGTGAGGTGTGACGCCACAGCACTCTACTGAGAGCAATAGTTAGACTGTCTCAAAAAAAAAAAAGTAAAATGAAACTATTAATAACCATCTAAGTCACAAGTTTTTAAGTCCATGATAAAAATGTCTGAAGAGGCAACCAATAAGCTGCGTGTTACTAAATATGCATTAATGTATTTCAGTCATAACTGTTACTGCTAACTGCTGTGATGTCAGCTTCAGACGGTTGAGAGGCTGATCCTCAAGTGCCACTCCCCGGCTCCTAGTGTAAGCTGTACCTGTGTTACTCGTAGAACTCTCAGGCAGAGGTTTCCTTCTCGCTGAAAATGACTTTGACACTAACATATTCTTCGCTCAGAGTGTAGGCATTCAGGCTAACACCCTTAAGGGCTTAGAAACCATCCTGGCACTCCGCCCTTAATGGCTGTTTTTACGACCTCTATTTACTTTCCTTTAGGTCCACTGACAAGAGAGAGCTTCCAGACGCGTCACCGCCCACCAGCTCCTCGAACTTTGCTCTTGTTCGCAATCCAAGCTAACGCAACCACCTGGTGTCGCAAGTAACCTCTGCCTCGGCCTCCAGCCCAAGTCCACATCTACACTCGTGTCCAGCCAGCGCAGGCTCACCACCTGGGTCCCCAACTCAAGACCCCGCCCCCCGACTGGGATACTGCCCGCCCCTCCCCGAGGTGCGGCCCGGGATTGGCCGAGGGGTGGCATGGGTTCTGGTTGGCCCAGGAGGGGTCACGTGGGCGCCGTGGCCTCGAGGGCGGTCTCTGTCTCTGGTGTCAGGTTTTGGGCAGCTGCAGGTAGGGCGCGCCCGGCCTGTCGGCGGTAGCTGCGGCTTTGGCTCACCTGGAGTGTCCCGCCCACGTCAGTCGCGCGCGGTGGCCTGCAGGGTGCCAGCCCCTCGGGCCCTTCCCGGGCTCTGGGAGGGCGGGGCCCTACATCAGCGACCACCTTAAAAGAGGAGAACCCGTTGGGAACAAGCTATGCGGGTAAACTTGGGGAATGGTGGTGACAGATTGTGGCTTCAGACTTAAATTCTGATGGAGGTAGTGATGGAAGCAGCTCCAGTTTACACTGAGTTCTCTGGCTCAAGAGGTAAAAGCTCTTGAATTTACTGTAGATACTGTTTTTAACCCCATATGGGGGCTTGCTTTTGTCCCTGGGTGCTTCCATTTGAGTAGTGTGTAGTGAAATTAATTTTTTTTGTAAGTCAAAGATACCTGAAAACGTGAGGAAGGGAGCAGAATGAGAGGAGAAGGGAGAAATTCTGCTATTTTCCCCTTGATTGTGGCAAAAGAGGAGATAATGGGAAACATGACCTATGACATACACCAAAAATTACTTTCTGTTTTTCTACCTATTTTATATTCGCTGATGTGAGTAGAAAATTCTAAATGAAAACAAAAAGTTACGACAAAGCTTAACGCATTTTTACAGATACAGACTTAACTATTGCAACTACTATGGACAAAATGTGCATGATGTGGAATGTTGAAGGCAGGCCTTGTGATGTGCCTAATAATCTTGTCCATTTTAAGCAGGGAGAAAATCAAAGTGAACTGGAGAAAATGAATCTTTCTCCTAAGGAGACAGAAGTTAGGGAAAATGAGATGTCAGAAGATAAGGACAATGGCAGTGGAGATGAGGTAATGACGTGTACAATGTTGGCTGGGCATGGTGGTTCATCTCTGTAATCCTAGCAACTCTGGGAGGCTGAGGCAGGTGGATTGCTTGAGCTCAGGAGTTTGAGACCAGCCTGAGCAAAAATGAGACCCCATCTCTACTAAAAATAGAAAAAACTGAGGCAAGAGGATCACTTGAACCCAAGCTGGAGGTTGCTGTGAGCTATGACATCATGGCACTCTACCTAGGGTGACAGCTGGAGACTCTGTCTTAAAAAAAAAAAAGGACATGTACAATTTGAGCAGTATAACTTTTATTAATGTCAGCAATCAAAATCCAGAGTAAAGCAGTTAAACTGTACTGTTTAATCTCAAAAAACGGTATTGTGAGTACTTTCCAACTAGTTTTGTAAGTCCACCCTAAACTTAATACCAAAGTCTGACAAGGTCATTTTGAGAAAAGGAATCTCATACCACTCTTTACTCATGAGCAAAGATACAAAAATCTAAACAAAATCTCAGCAAACGGAATATTAACATTATTTAAAAAGAGTAATGTGTCTTAATGCCTTGTGGCCAGGTGCAGCTTATTTGGGGATTGTAAAGTTGTTTTAGGCCTGAAAAGTGATATTAGTTTAAAAGAAAGTCTCTTGATTCTTTTTTTTTTTT